GAGACGCTGTCAGGAGCAGGGCATGCAGAGCCCTGCCCCGAGCCGGGGTACTGGGGGGAGCTGCTGCCAGGTTGGTGTCCCGGTGCACCCCACCGAGCGCCCCGGCCCTTGCACAGCTTTCCCGCTTGCCAGTGACACTTGTCCCTTGCTCGGAGCTGAGCACCCGCCCAAGGAGTTTGCTGGTTCGGGGCCCAAGCGCTTTGCTGAACAGAAGATGGGTTACGTGCGTGCTTGTGTGCTGTCTCCGATGGGATTTATAGGCTGTAGCTACTCATGCTGGCGAGCGGGAATGGACCTTATTTGGTGAAAGAAACCAGCTGGGCAGCGAGCTGAGTCGCTGGCTGGCCACGTCAGGCTGCCAGGACACCCGCTGCTGGTCGCGGTGGGACGGAGCCGAGCTGCGGGGCAGGGGCCAGCTGATTTATTTGCTTCGTGTATTAACTTCATTCTCACTTCTGGTTTTATTCATCTCCTTTCTTAAAATCTGAGCGAGACACCCGGCCGGGGTGACTCTCTCTTGGCGAAACGGCCATAGGGAAAACGATGTTGCCTTTTCAATGGGTGGTGGTTGCTCTTTTGTTTTTTAAAAACCCGGGCTGTAGTTCTCACCTCAGCCGGGGCATAGCACAAGCACAGACACTTTTGTACCTTAGAGCTCAGCAAGGGGCCGGGGCGGGCGGCAGAAGCATCTCCACACACGGCTGTCGGGTCAAGCCGGGAGCCGTGGGGGACTTGGTGTAGAGGCATGGTTTGACCCAAAGGGAGCTATTGCTGCTTCTTTTAAGGCAATTTGGTCTTTGAGGTCGAATTACCCAAAAGCCTGCACACACCCGAAGCTTTTTTTATCATTTGGAGATGTTTTTGAAAGATTCTTCCTATCCCAGCCTGTGCTACCACCTCTGTGTCTGCTTATAAGGGGTTTTTTTGAGCCTTGGAAGAGCGAACCCTGTTGCGTTAAGCTTCCTATCGATTGCAACCACACCGTTGGTCAGGAGCTAGCAGCTCCCACTAGCTGCTGGCACCCCCGCTCCTGCCCTGGGGTCTCTCTGCACCAGGCAGCTGTGTCAGATCAGGGCTAACGGAATTATTACTTGCAAAGGGGGCTGCTCTGCTCTCTCCTCCAAATTGCAAACCAGGGATCACCTGGCACATATCTACAGCAGGCCTGTAACGCTTATAATAAAGGGCAGCTGGGAAGCTGCTTTATAGGGGTTTTTCAGCGTGCTGGCTGGCTTTGGGGGCGTCTTTACCCTTGCTTTGTCTGAGCACAGGCAGAGCTCGGTGCGTAGATGGCTTCTGGGGCAGCTGGTCGTGCTTTTGATGCTCTGCCTGGTGGGAGAAGCGCGATGTGCTCTGCTTTCTCCGGCCGAGGCCTGTCTCTCCTCCAGCAGCCGGTGCAAGGCAGGTTGTTTCTCCCAGGAAAAACAGAAAATAACAAAGCAGTGACAGCTAAATGTGCTCTGCCACGCAACAGAGGGGAAAAGTTATACCTGTCCTTTCATGAAGCGTTGAAGGTAAAGTGAAATCATCCTTAAAAATGTATATTTTTTAATACAGGTGTAACCCCCCCCCAACTCTTAGGACTTTAAAACATCTGCAGAATTGATGTGTTGCCTTAAAGTTACCAATATGTGTAATGACTGTGCGGAGAGCCTCTTGTCAGTGTCAGGGCTGCACTGGGGGCTTCTCTCCCCAGCTGCAGGGCCTGATCCTGCTCACAGGCTCCGGGGTCCGCGTGGCTCTTGCAAAACAACAGGGCTGCCCCAGCACAAGTTTTTGGTGGAGCTTCAAGGGTTTCCACCGCCTTGTGCGACCTGGGCTGCCGCGTGCTTTAATTAGGGGTATTGTTAGGGTCCTCTTTTGTCTGGCTAGGACTTGGCTGCTGCAAAGCCCTTTGCTGTATCTGGGTGCGTGGAGGATGGCCGGTGATCGCGTTACAGGGGCTTAACGAGTTTCTGCCAATTAAGGGGAGTCGAGGGTTTTCTGCGAGGGGAGAGCTGGAAACCTGTTAGCCTCAAAGCTGGAGGTTGCTCTGTTTTCAGTGCAAGAGGGGCGATGTTCCTAGGGATTTTGTATTTAAGCATATTCCCAATGTATCAGTCCGCACATCAGAGTTAAAAAAACCTAAGTACGTTTGGTCTTTATAAAAATCCAAAGCTCCTAAAGTTTTGGAGTTTTTAATAAGCAAAAGAAAAGCTCTTTCTTTCCCAGTCCGCGGGGCTGATATGAGCAAGGTACCTGGGAATTAGTTAGCTTAGCTTTGATTTTTTGGGTTTAAAAAGCTGCTTTCAAACTTGAAGGCAATTTGACTGTGCTGTACTTTATTTCGAAGCACACTTTCAGGACACTAAAATGCAGCAAAGGTCAAGTCTTCTGTGAAGTCTAACTTAAATTTTGCTTTCAAAATAATATATATTTTGGATTCGCGATGCATTTGGGCCGTGGGCTTTTACAAGATGAGAAAGCTCTCTCCAGAAGGGAATCTGAAAACAGATCTAAAAACCTGTGAATGAGATGTCAAGCAATGCTCCCAACCCCACTGCGTTTTGTTTCATTTCCACCCCAGCTTCGTGTCGGGTCCCACTAAGCGACCCGTGGGGCTCGGGAGCATTGTGGTGGTGGTGGTGGGCGGCAACGCGACTGCGAACTCAGGGGGAAGGCGGAGGGAAGCACCATCCTTCTTGGGCTGCTGGAGGTTATTTAACCAACTGTGCTGTTTACCCCATGCTTTTGTTTTGCATCTCGCTTGTTCCGTTGCTGTGTGTGTTTGAGCTGTCCGGGTGCCGGTGAAACCCAGGGGTGAGCCTTTACCTGCAGATTTTTGGTGGTGAGGTGGAGGACACACTGGATGTAGCTGCCTTTCCAGGCCTCCCTGCTCTGGCATGATATTTCATGTGATCCCACTATAAATTGTTATCGAGGAGCGAGCCGAACAGCTCCCCGAACAAGGGTGGTGCCTCATTTGCTTCTTTTTTTTATCCTCTGCTTCCCCCCCCTGTTTTTTCCCATTTCAGGCATGATTAGGCATCGTCACGCAGTTGTATGTTGTATCTGCTTCAAGTCGATCAAACCTTGTTACCCCTCCATCCCGCCATCCACCTGAACCTCCTCTCCCCGTAGAAGTCACCCCTTCCACAGTCATCTTCTACAGGGGTCCAAATAATTAATTATTCCCAAGCAAAGGTGGAACTGGGGGGGGGGGGGAACACAACAAAAAAAAAAACCCATGTAAAATATGGCCCTTATTCCTTAATCTCACTGGATAGAGTTACACATCTGGTAGAGGCTTGTTCGTTGTTGCTATTACTTTTATTGTGTCTTTAGCGGTGATGAAGTTCAGATGGCAGAACCAGTGGGCCCCAATTTAATTTCATCTGGCCTCCTGTAATGAGCACGATGTGATTCCCCAGGAAATGCTGGCTCGGCCGCAGCTCCGGCGGGCAGGCGCTCGCGTGCCATGGTGATGGGCAGGGGCGGTGCGGACAGACAGCCGGACAGGCAAAACCCCGCGGCAAGGCTGGG